TAGGTGTCATTTCGTCACTAGCAGTTTCCATGGAAACGCTGTCATAGGTTTATTCAGACGCATTTTTTAGCTTATGGCTTAAATAATTCGAAAACTAACCCGGTGACCCCGTGATTTTTTTCAGCGATTGCTTTTAGCACTTGAAAAGGAAAATGTACAAAATTATACGGAGCGCAATTTCAGAAAATCTAGAAAAAAGGCAATTTTCACATATCGCAAATTTCCTTCCGTAGAATTTTATATGTTTTTTTTCTGATGATTCCTTCCGAAGTTGTTATCATATTGCAACAATATAAAGGAGGGTTCACCGGACTTGTTTTCATACAATAGCTTTCGTGAGTTTAGCAATTCCCACGCGCGTTCTAGCGCATCTGAAAATCTGGATTCTATAAGATCAACATTTGCTCATGATCTTTTATAGCTACCGCTGACTATCGCGTGTGTTCACGCGAGCACCTACGATCTGACGTTTAGAGACGTTTACTGCTAAGAAAATCATTAAACAGCTGTCAAAGACAGCCTTCCGGGCTCATCTTAAAAATCCTACACACGACTTTTGGCTATATCATATTATTTTCCTTGAAGTTTCAAAGTCTTCTTCTACTTCAGATAGATTATCTTAGACTTGAGTTTTTCGTTTTTCGCCGTTGCAAGATTTTATATCGGTTGAATATTTCTTTTAGATGTGAAGTGAGGCAACCTTTACTTCTCCGAAAATCGTCTTCTTTTTCTTCGTTTCTTTCCCCTGCATTCACAGTCGCCGCTGAACACATCAAATACACGCTCTTCAGTAAACTTCTCACAAAAGTAGAAAAAAATCCTCGCGCCGCCATCTTTGCTTTAAATTTTCGTCTTTTAATCTTGCGCTTCTTTCGCACGTTTCTCTCGCGCGTGACGCAAAAGTTATCTGTTCCCTACGCTAGGAAACTAGTACGAGCCACCTTAACTCGTTACGGTGGCCAATTTACAATTTCGACTGACTTGAATAGAGGGGGCATGTTGATAAAGAAAGTGTAGCGCTGCGTCAGTAGGAGTTCTTGATTTACTTGTGAGTAGACTAGCAAGGACTTGGGCACTTGTGGTGAGTCTCAACGATCAACTAGATTGGTTTTCTTTTCCATTTATTATTGAAGTTGAGTGACTAACCTCAAAAACCTTGTTTGTCCCATTTATGACTTTCAACGAGTATGTGACCGATCCGACATCTTTTTTAATACACTTCTTACCATTGTTCTTCGACCTCACGATGTGAAATGCTGCAAGGACATAAACGAATTTATTCAAGAACAAACTGATGTACATTGGGGAACCAAAATGAAGAGAAGAAAGTATGCCTTCCAATACACCCTATGAAGTTCTTTTAGTTGGCTGCGCACAAGTTAAATCAGTTCCTCTGAAAAGAATATGAAAGCCTGCAACCCCGGATCCGGTTTACCTACTAATTAAAATTATTAATACTTTATAGCACTTGAGAGCATGTCAAGCAGCAAGGCAACAAATGAGTTCACAATCAGATGTGGTAGATGTCAAAAGTTAAAGCTTGTCCCCACCGACAGAACGCCTAAGGCTAAGGCAGAGTATTTTAGGAAAAGTAAGTAATACGCTTTACATATATCAGGGAATATTATGATGGCCAAAATGTATGCCGAGTTCGCATGCTCGGTTCAATGAACAAAGCTTGTTAGAAGAAAAAAGGTTCGGAACAAAATCCACTCGAGTTGATAATAACTAGAATAAGAATAGCCATAGAAGTTGCAGAATTAACAGAGACGCACTTTATGAAAAAAGTCATAATAAAGATACTTCTAAAAACTAGTATAATATTTCTCGACAACAAATTTACTTTGGACGTCCTTTAACGCTGCATATTTTCTTTTTTCTGAATGTAGAACGCTACGATACCGCTTGTCAGAAACTTCAAAAAGAAGAAAACGCTACCCGAGAAACAACGAAGATGAAA